ACCAAGAGGGTCATTACACAAGCTTAAATCATTGAGTTTTGCAACAGATCAACCAGAAGATGGAGTGCACTTTGTGTTCCCTTGCGTGCATGAAAGGTTACGCTCATCGGCACATATAAATTTCAGTTTCTGCATTATTGATGGAGGCCTTACGGAAGACACTGGATGTTTATCCTCTTTGGAACTATATCATGAGAAATTTTGTGAATTTGCCTCAAAGCATAGGCCAACTTAGTTCTCTTCGATCCTTGAATTTAACAGATTGCAAGAAGCTTACTCATCTGCCAGAATTTCCCCAGCAATTAGATACAATAAATGCAGATTGGAGTAATGATTCGATCTGTAATTCATTGTTTCAGAATATCTCATTATTGCAGCATGATATCTCTGCTTCAAATTCCTTCTCACTAAGAGTGTCTATGAGTTGGTCGAAGAATATCCCAATTTGGTTCCACCATCGGGAAGGTGGTAGAAGTATATCAGTCAAATTGCCTGAAAATTGGTGTGTAAGTGATTACTTCTTGGGATTTGTTGTATGTTACTCTGACGATATAATTGACACCATAGCTCACTTGATTTGTTATGATGAGAGGCCGGTGACACGTATCACCCAAAAACGTGCCTTATCCAACCATTCAAATCATCATTTTGGACCTACTATTCATTTTTTCTTGGTACCTCTTACTGGCTTATTGGATAAATCTAAGGCAAATGAAAAAACACCAAATGACTATGGACGCATTAGAATATTTTGCACTGGAGATATGAAGGAGTTTGGACTTCGTTTGTTGTATAAAGATGAACCTAAGATTGAGGCCAGTTGCTCCTCTTCTAAGAAACAATGATGAACCACCTGACATGACGATCGTGAACACCACGATGAAGCCAGTCCATTCAGAAACTTTGCAGCTCTTTCCCATAAGTTCAGGGTATTAGCTTAAATATAGGTATCTATACTAGTTGGTAGAGAAATTGTCTTCTCTCTTTTTATATAATTCTCTCCAAAACCAAAAAATATACTCTTTCCTCTGTGTTTTCTTTCTTCTTTTCATTAGTTTGTTTTTCCTCTATGTTTTATTTCTTCTTTTCTCTATTGACATTAATGGGGTGATGTACATATCAACAATAAGTTTTGTCTATTGATTCTCTACCTTGTCTCCGCTTGTGCTGAGCGATGAGTTAACTTTTTTGTGAATAAGCTTAAATTTTCTATTTTTCAAATCAGATCCCGGGATAATATGATCTTAATTCAATTCTTACCTAATGTACTCACAAATCAATAATTTGATCTTGAAAATTAGTCAACTCTATAATGAAAAGATGAATACCTCAATTGATGCCAGACAGTTAGTTAGAAAGAACTGCTTACACATCTGGACATTTTCACATATTGTATTAGAAAATAAATGTTGCTTCTAAGTTCTAAGTTCTGTGCTATACTCAAAATTGATTTTCGACTTGTTCACTGATGGTGCTTCTTTTTACAATTTAAATGGCTCTAAATTGATTCTCTGAAATAAAGTATTTTGTTTCCATAATTTATTTACTCACCCTTCTCAATGTGAATGAAGGACTAGGCTTTCACCTAGTATTATGTTTGTTTTGAAATATCATGGTTTTTGAGCAGATGAATACTTCAATTGCTATTTCCTTTGTTTAAATTGGTTCACCGGAGTCTTTTATAAGGAAGTTTCTAAATTTTTTTTGTGTGATATTTGATCATGAATCCCTTGTAGTCGGCAAAAAATGGCATAGTTCTCAACTTAATTTGTAGATGCTTCTATATCAATATTAATTCCTCAAGTAAGGGAAACATTCTCTGAGTTCTTTGTCTTTACTTATGAGCTGCATTTGTTATAGAACTAGTTTTTCGTAAAATTTTGGTGGGGTTTTCAGGCCTGTGCAACTGCTGAGAAGTTTATGCGGCAGTTACCATCGTTAACTAAGCAGAAGCAAGAGACTGAAGATGTTGACAAAGTGAGCACTGCAGATTTAATTTATAGAACTAAACTTGAATACACGTAAAATTAGCAGTGTATTCAACTATACAGGGATTGTCTGATGAGCATCTTTCCACATAACACTCTACAATTTTCCCTGATTTGCTATCTGTAAACAATAAAGACTCAAAACTCAAAATGAAGCACAACTACAACAAAAGCAAATCATGAATTATTTTTAATATGTTAAAAAGGAGATTTTTGAGCCTTCTCCATTAAAATTATATATTTAGTCAAACAAATCACATTAAGAATTAGTGATTATACGCGTTGAGAAATATTATTGAATCAGGTTCACCAATAAAAGAGTGTTAGAAGATGGCTCACAAGCCGATTAGCGTGCAAATACAATATTGGTATCAGATCCACAGGCTCGTTTCGATTGTTGACATGGTTGTATACTTGTATACATTACATGAAAATGAGGGTTCTTATATGTAATTCTTGACTTGTAATTGCATGGCTGATATATGGTCGTTGTTTGTTTTTGTCGGATCTTGTCTAATGGAGGGTAGCTTCATTATTTAGTAAGTCTTCTTGCTTTATAACATCCTGGTCTTGTGACGGAGTGCATGGGTAGCTCACTATCTTGTTACCACTTTGGTATGCTGTTCTTCCTCCTACTCACTTTTTTCTGTAGGTGGTCTTGTAACAAAGTGCATGTATAGCTAGCTCTGATCCACCACCCTTTAAAAATATTTTTCAAAAAGTATCTTTTGTTTTTAGCTAGAGAATCAAAATTACTTTTTAGGAAAATAATTTCTGACCCGAAAACCAACCTCATATAATCGATCTAGGACATGACCCCGACACCCGTACTAAGATACAACCCCGATGATTGATCCAAAATCTGACTAGGACATGACCCCGACTTTCGACTTGAGACCCGACATTCAAACTGGATAGGATATTCGACCCAAGAATTGACACCGACAGTCAAATTTGGACAAGATCGACCAATCCAAAATTCGAACCCGTCACTCGAATTGAGACCTGACTTTCAAATCAGACTTGATCCAGACACCCAACAACCGATGCGAGACCCAACTTTTGAATCAGGACTCGACTCGTGAACCAACAACCGAGTTTGTATTCACACTTTGCTTGATATTAGTGAAAACAACTTGAAATTCTATGTGACAGGTCGTTGTTTTACTCCCTTGAGCAATGAGGTTTCTGCGTAAAACTCTTTTTCTTTATTGTTAAGTACTTTATCACATTCTAGCAAACTATTTACCTTATACTACAGTTCACGGTGGACTACCACATCTCAACACCTAGCTATTTTTACACGATTTATGAAAAATTCACAATAAATTACCTTGTTTGTATATTGGCAAGTGGAATATACAAATGGAGTTCTGAAAAATTTCTAAATGTATAAATAGAGAATTTGTATATACTTACTCTATTTGTATATTCACGCGCGAAATATACAAATCGCAACCTCCATAGCAAACATATTTATAGCTATGGAGCGCAATTATCGAAATTATATCTATAAAGCCTTATTATGTCTATTATGTTTGTTTTTTTCTGGAATTTTCTCAATAAAAAAGGAAAAATTACCTAAATACACAACTTATTTTACCATATTTTCTAATATTTCCTACTATTTGAAAAAATTACAAAAATCTCCTCTCTCTCCTATCGATCAGATACATCACTTTACGTGATGTATAAGAACATACGCGATATATGTTGATATTAACAGTTAATTGTATCTGATACAATTATTAGACCTATATCTCATACAATAGTAAGATATATGTTAAGGATTTATGGACTACTCAAATAAAATGAAACATCATATGGAGGGAAAATTGTATATAATAGCAAACTATTAATTCAAATTAAATGCTATAAACATAGTTTGATTTAATTGTACCCCATAGCAAACTGTTGCTATTTCGCCTCTCTCCTGGTGCATCTCGCTCGTCACTCTCGTTCTCTCCCTCGCCTCTCTCGCTTTTTATACAAACGCAAATGTATAAAATGCGTTTGTGTTTGTATAAAGAGAGAGAAAATTGAAATTGTATATATACATATATTTTCATTCCTCTCTCTCCCTTCTCCAAATCTCGCTCGCCACTCTCCCAGATCTCGCTTGCCAGTCTCTCTCTCACCTCTCTCACTTATACAAAGAGAGATGTATAAATTGCTTTTCTATTTGTATAAAGCGAGAGAAAATTGTATATACACATGCAAATACATATATCTTCGTTCTATACACTTATAATTATACAATACAAATATTCCCATGCCTAGTTCTCTTTTGCCTTTCTCTCTTTCTCGCTTTATACAAACACAGATTATGCAATTGGTCTTTTGTATATGTATACCGAAACAGAAACAAATTATATACAACTTCTTTCTTTTGTATATGTATAGCGAAATATACATATTTATATTTGCTATGGAGCGCAATTATGCAAACTATAACTATAACATACAAATATGATTTTTGTGTTTGCTATATGTGAAAGTTGCTCTATGGACAGATACATTGTCCTCGTTTTGACTGGTAGACTTGGGCTTTAGAAGATTATGGCCCTATTAGTGGAATTTATTAGGAAAATATCTACTAAGACAAGTAAACAAAATAGGCATTTTAACAAGTTATAAAACCTAAAATTAGGACAACTTCAGCCGTCAAAGATGGCAGAAGACTCAATTCCTCAAGATGTTACCATCCAAATTTTCTCACAGCTTCTTGTTAAGTCTTTAATGCGTTTTAGGTGTGTTTCAAAATTTCATAATTCAATTGTGTTGGAACCAAATTTTGTGGATCTCCAATTATTCTAAGATCAATCGTGGTGATATTAAGTTGATTGCATGCATAGACGACGTTTGTTACGCTATAGAAGTTCATCATGATGAAGATCGAAATGCCACCAAGTATCATCAAATTGACAATTTTAGTAAGTTGTATGATCGAATTATTAACTGTCGTTTAGATTATTATTATCATTTTGAGTCGGATAATGGTTTGTTTTGTATATGGGATCTGAAGTTATTGCCATTTGCAATCCCGCTACTAGAGAAGTAAGATTTCTTCCTGATGTTCCTCATGAGGGCGAGGACTTTATATGTTCAATAGGTTTTGAGCGTGAAGAAAACAAGTATAAAGTTGTTTTGACTATTGAAACTAACGGAAAGTTATCTAGAGCATGGGTTTTCACTTTAGGCATAGATAAATCATGGAGGGAAATGATTAAATATGGCGAACATGATTATTATATTGCAGGACACATATCTGGTATTTGCATTAGTGGGATTATCTATCGGATTAGCCTTGCTCCGGACTATTGTATAGTTGCGTTTGATGTTAAATCAGAAATTTTCACAAGTATCACAATGTCGATTGAATTATGTCGTAGTTTTATCGATTGTGACAATATGCTAATAGAAGTGAATGGAAAATTAGGAATGATGAAATATTCAGATTATTTGTTTGGTAACGACATTTATCTATGGGTTTTTGAAGAACACGAAGAATGGAAACATGAGATACTTCATATTCCTTTAGAAAGGGAACCTAATGAGTTTTACTTTGATCCGTTTATGATTCGCAAGTATGGTGCTGAAGAAATTGTATTTGCAATACACATAACATCGAGAAGTCATGATGATGTTTTGGTTTTTTATATTTATGATATGAAGAATAAGAGTTGGAGACATTTTGAGGTCCAAGAATTTCCTGGCCAGATTGAAAGTATTTGTACCTATAGTGAAACTCTCTTCTCTCTGGAAAATATTGGCAGTGTTCATCACCAAGTATAACTACAAACAAGACAATTATATTTGAATTATATATTGCTTTTATATGTAAAAGGTTATAGTGGATAGCTATATTGTAATGTGGAAGGTTATTTTGAGAGGATTAATGTAATACATGAATTACTTTTTGTTTGATGTTAATTTGATTCGTTAATTTATTTTTTTGTTGTTGTAATTCAACTATTTATTTTGAAAGATAGAAGAAAGAGCGGACCTATCAATTATTATTAGTTTAATTTAATTTGGGTATTTTAGCAATTATCATAACTGTTGCAACAACTGTCATAGTTGTTGTAGCAAACATAGTTGCTACAATCGACCAATTCAGAATTCGAACCCGTCACTCGAATCAAGACCCAACTTTAAAATTAGGTCCTGATCCCAACAACCAACAACCGATGAGACCCAACTTTTGAATCAATACCTGACTCGACTCGACTTTCGATCAAAGATTTGACTTTCAAATTCCGATTCGACCTTGACTTGCGAACCGGGACTCGACCATACCCAATCTTAGAACCTTACTTTCAAACTGAAATTTGATTATTTTTTTTTATAAAAAAACTGATGAACATCCTCACTCTTACCACCTTGAAACTAAGGTGGTTTCATCTTCTAAATCCTTTCATAGCACTGTTTCTTAATTGTCATCAGAATAATTAACCGCAGGAGCAATCTGAACACCTATAGCTGGTGCCAGGACCACTGGGGCTGACCCACTTGATCCTGTATACCGGAGTCTTCCGTTGACCTAGAGTTTACTCTCTTAGCCCAGTCTGAGAACCATGTGGTGAGCCTGAAGCACCACCCCGAGAAAAGCTCTAATACACCAAACATCCTCAATAAAGTCTGCTGAAACAAAGGAGCTCCAAATTCGGGAGGAACCTGGTCCCAGCAACCTCACCCTGTGGCTTAAGAGAAACCTCTCTAGCTCTACCTCTGGCGGGTGCCGCTCCACAGGCACGACCTCTAACCGGTGCTACTCCACAAGCACAACCTTTAGCTTGGGTCCTACCCCTACCCCTACCCCTAGCTGAGGTTTCAATAACTCCATCGGGACTGTCTCTTCTCTACCACTAGAAACAGAAGCTCTAGTCCTTGGCATCTGCCAAAAAAACATGCGGCAACTCAGCACAAGCGAGGGTAACCACACATGATAAGATATAATGAACAATTGGAATTTTCCTAACAGTCTTCATAGCCTCTGGAATATTAGTACAGTCGTCTCCATACCGATCCTCAAGACTCTAATTATACTTGGCTTGTACACATGTGAGACCTATGAACCTAGGGTTCTGATACCATTTGTCACGGACAAAAAATGAACGTGATGACACGTTTCTATTCCAATCAAGACAAATCAGCCTCAACCCAACGAAACAAAAGAAAAAGGGAAAAAAATAAAGCAAGAACAAGACAAGGGCGGAAAACTCATTCATTCTATTAACACCTTAAAACTTGGTTGTCATTTGTACAAGCCACTAATGTAAAAACAGAATTCGGAAGATAAATACAAGTCCTTAGTCTTTGTTTCTCAAATAGAAAAAAACATAACATAAAGGAAAAGATCGATGGTTCGCCGGGGTGACAACTAACAAGCAACTACCTCTCAATGATCCTTTGATAAGCCTTGGAAAGTAAGAGAAGAAGGACGATCACACGGTACCGGGCTCAGAACGTACACAAGTGTAGAAGCAAGGAGTGAGTACCAACAACATGGTACCCAACAAGCAAACTAATAAACTAGGCAACCTAGCTCGAAATCGGATACTCCTTTCCATCCCAACCGAACATCCTCAAACTACAACCTGCATGAAAAATCAACCCAACCTAATAGTTTTACAATAAACAGTTCATAAGGCTCAATATTCACAGTCCCAAGTCAACAATCAACACGTCTCAAGTAGTTAAATCACAAATATCAAACACATCAACCGTGCTCAATCAATAAATCAATCATAAGTATAAAAATACATCAAAACATGAGAATCAACTCTCGCTGGGACCATTTTCCATCGGCTTTATGTCACATCACTAGCCGGAAGCATTTTCCATTGGCTTTATATCAAATCACTAGCCGGAACTATTTTCCATCGGCCTTATGTCAATCACTAACTAAAACCATTTTCTATCGGCTTTATATCAAATCACTAGCCGGAACCATTTCCTATTGGTTTTATATCAAATCACTAGCTGGAACCATTTTCCATCGGCTTTATATCAAATCACTAGCCGAAACCATTTCAAATAATAGTGCACTTGTTGTGAAGTGCACTATTATTAGTTTTGTTCAATCCCTATGATGTAATTGCATTTGTCCTATAATGATTTGTGGAGGTTGAGTCTTCGAACTCTTAATGAAATTTTGTATCTCGTATGAGTGGGGTGTCAAATTATAAGAGCACCCTTGACAGATTTCACCTATGTGAGTGTGAAAGTAGGCCGCTTGAGATGAGAATGAGTTTGTTCTCAATAATGCTCATGAAAATCGAGATGGCACAAGGCCGTTATGTGTTGACTTTGAAAGCTTATGTCAACACCTTAATTATTATGTGTAAGCAGTGATACTTTATTTCCCTTAAGCAGTGGTAGTTCAAGTCTGAGACCACCACTGACTTTGGAGTATAGATTATTGTTTTACTAAGTGAAGGTTCTATGCAGAGGACACCTTTATTATGCACAATAGTCTACATTCAAACTAAATTGGTGAACTCTCTTATTTTAATATTAAAATGAGTGGGAGAATATTTGTGTATATGCATTTTATTTTTAAAACAAAATATTAAGTGCATATGTTAGTGAGTATAAATTATGGTAGAAGATGACTATTGGTTCTTGTAACATATATGATCATTAGTTCTTGTAACTCTCATGGTCATTAGTTTCTTGTAACTCATATGACCATTAGTTTCTTATAACTCATGTAACATCTATCACATTTATCTACCCACATTACTATCCCTCATTCCACTCATTAATTATATGGAAGACTTCTTCGCCTTTAAATAGTGATGTTTCTTCCTTTGTGAAGTATCCCAAGAAAGAAGAGAAGTACAAGAAAATATTGTAGTGTACAGTGAGGTAAGTGTAGTGAAAGAGAGTTGAGACAAAGAAAATATTCCAAGTCTTCAACTATATTCACTATACAAAAGAGAATAATTATATGTTGAAGGAATGTGTGTTTTTTTGTGGAGCTTTGGACTCTTCAACTAATCCAGAGTTGCTTGAGTTGTACGACGTTGTTGGACTGTTGTATCCTAAAGGGGACAAGTTAAGAGTGATACTGCTGGATCGGTGTAGATTATGCCGCAGTGAGCTTGAATCTCCTTAAAGAGTGCGAGATATCCGCGCCTCAGCCTAAAAAATTGTTTATTTATTTTGTCATTTTATTTTCAACTGTAATTTATTGTATTTGTGGTATATTACACCAACAATTAATATTATTAAAAGTGGATTTTTTCAAAATGTAAAGTTGAATTACCATTTTATCCTACATCAAATAAAATATCTGATTAATTAAATATTAAAAAATATCACATATACTATACTAAATACTAAAATGAAAAGGTTGTTGATATTTGATATTTTTTTGAAATGGTAGAAAAAAAAAAGAAAATATAATAATAAATGATGTGTAAAAATTTTCACTAATATTTTTTTGATGGATGTGATAAGTCAAACAATGACAAGGGGAGAGTAATAGGTAACCATCATCTAAACGAAACAAATTGTTAATTCCCAACACTTGAATGACCCCTTCACTTTTTTTTTTCTGGGGAAAGTGAATAGGTCAAGATTAGTTCAGTGGCCTCTACTCTATCATCTCTATCACCATAAGCAACTCAGGAGCAGAAGAGGGTTTCTAACTGAGAGCCTGGTAAGTGTTTTTCCAAAACTTCACCCCTTCGATTCTTCCTTTATTTGTTTATCATCATTCGTTGTGTTCTATTTGATTTTCTGGTGAGCTAAAAAGAAATTTCATGTTGTATTTAATTTTATAATAAATCTTAATAATACCTTACACTATTTGATGTATGTATTGTTGTGGCAACCTTTTCTTTCATTTGTGTACGGTAGATTGTTTGGATATTTCTTATTCTTGTTTACTTTCTGCAGATGTCTCCTAATGGCAAAGAAATTGCGTGTCAAAGTGTAGCTCTGGATGTACTTAGTAGCCTTCCTGAGAATGTAATTCATGATATTCTTAAATTTTTGCCTTTACGAGATGTGGTGCGGACAAACATCTTATCCACGAAATGGAGATATAAGTGGTGCAGAATTCCTCAATTGGAACTCCACATAGCACCTTGGCTAGTAGAGGACTTGAGATCTTCTTCAATTCAATTTAATAAAATTTTATATCACCTTTTAACCTTTCATGCCGGACCAATTTCTAAGTTTATCTTCTCCCTTTATACTAATGGAAGAGGTCGTCCTGAGCTTGACAAGTTGGTATATTTCCTCTCTAGGAATGGAGTTCAGCATCTCGATTTTACATTCTGTGGGTGTAGCCAATACAAAATGCATTCTTCTTTTTTTACATGTTCGCAATTGAGGTATCTGTCTCTCTCTGGTTGTGAAATACAGATTGTTCCTCCTGCCTTTAAAGGATTTCACAAGTTAATTAGCCTGAAATTATCTGAAGTCACAATTTCTTCCATAGTTCTTGAAAGTTTAATCCCTAATTGTCCATTGCTCGAGCAGTTGGTGTGCGATGGTGTTGCCATCGATGACCCTGAAATTAGTGCTCCCATGCTGAGATCCTTTGAATACATCGAAGATGAAGGATTTATATGTTTAAAAAGTGCCCCCTATCTTGCAAAACTTTCACTTACGCATATGAAATATCACGTGGGGACAGGAAGTTTTCTTGAGTCTTTCTCTGCTCTTGAACATCTCAAGTTGAATCGGTTTAGTCTTAAGGTAAATTTGCTTTATCACTTCATTGAGTGTAATCATAGATGGATTAAATTATTGTTTTGACTTTGAGTCATTTTGTATTTTCTCGCTAGTTTGTGGTTGCAGTAGCAAAAAAAGTACCAGCAAGGCTCCCTTTTAATCTTAAATGCGTCAAACATCTTTGCTTAGATTCGATTCTTCTGAAGCGATTGGATAACGTCTTGTGTGTTCTTTGCTTGTTAAGAAGCTTCCTGCATCTGCAATATTTTGAAATCCAGGTTCATAAACATTCCACTCTTTCCTTTCTATTTCTCGTAGTTTCATACTTATTATCCTCAATAAGTTTAGAGAGTTGGGTTGTTTATAATCCTTCTTAGGTGATTGATGAAGATGATGAAATTCCAGAACTAGAATGTCTTAATTTGGAAGCTTTCTCAGATGTGACATTTATTCACCTTAGGGAAGTTAAGCTAATACAGACTATAGGCTCAGAGCCTGAGTTGCAGCTTATCAAGCTTTTGTTGGCCAAGTCTCCCATGCTGGAGAGAATGCTAATTCAACCCTCGAAAACAGGTGGTCATGCTAGCAGAACAATCACAATCCCCATTGTGCTAAACTCATTTCGGCGTGCATCACCTGAAGTACAAGTTGTTTATAATTTATAATTATTATGGTGACTAATCTGTTTCGTTATGAATTTGGTATTACAATGTTGTTGACTGATCAATGAAATGAGTCTTACTTCATGAAGTATATAAGATTTGATGGTGTTATCGTCCCCTAGCTAGTAGCAGTGGTGATGGACCTTCTTTTGTTCACTATGATATTTATTAATATGTCATTTTTCTTTTGTTATTCATTGTAATTTTCATGCCATAATGTGTTGCAGCCGATAGAGGCACAAATACAGTGTCTCGAGGCACAGTGAATCGTACATACATATCACAATATTAGTTTGAGAGAACTGCCTGAATTGCTTCTTTAAATTTCCTACTTCATGACTTGTGGTTGGCTAAGCCTAATAAAGAAATTGGTTGCATTCCTGACATTTATGTTTTTACAGAAATAGATATACTGCTAGTCGTTTTCTATTTCTTATTTGTCATTTTGTACTTATATCGACGTCATGTCATGAGTTTGAATCGATGTCTTGGCTAATTACAGTTACAGAGTACAAGGATATATAAAGTAGTTAATTGTACACACCTCCTTACTTTGTTATTAGGGTACACATTTATTTCCAGATTTATATTTATTGTCATTGAAGATTGTTGACAACTATTGTTTGACGGAGGGAGTACTAGTTCCATCTAACAGTCTTGGGAAGTTCAACAGAAAGTCCTTGGAAGAACTAAAGAATAGTGCCCCATTGGTTTTCTTCCAACAAAAAGTCCTTGGAAGAACTAAAGTAGGACAACTATTAGTAGATCTCTCAATTCATCTAAATTTGTATGTCAAATATTTCAGAGAAATTCATCAGAATGTACAATTTATGAATTCCTACTTCTAAGTTCATTAATGCGTTTAGGTGCATGCTTCGCAAGTTTTAAAATTTCTTCACACAACATAACAAAAACCTGTAAAACAAGTTTAAGCTCTTGTTGGATCTTTTGATCAAACTAAGCCATTATTTAAAGCAATTCACCAAAATAATACGTTTTTTTTAATTTTTTACAAAACTAGTATAAATGTATTTCACAGTAACGTTTTAGGGTATATTTTATTTTTTTAAAATCAATTAAGTTGAGAAACGTCACTGTGAATAATATTTTACGCTAAAAACGTTACTCGTAGTAAAATTTTATAATACGTTACTATGAGTCATACTTTACACTTAAAGCGTTACTCACATTAACGTTTCTTAAGAATCCAATCACGTGACATCGAATCCTGTAAATTTAGAATCGAATCCAACAAATATAGCTATAGTTTGTAAAACAAATCTATATTTTAATGAATTTTAGTGTAATAATTTTATAAGAATTTTTTTTATCCGTATACACAAATTATCTCCCGGTAATTGAAGAAATAACCTTTTAGAGTACAAATTATTAATATACCCTCTCTGTCCCAATTTATGCGACAAATTTCATTTTTCGAGAGTCAAATAGTTTAAGTTTGATCAAGAATTTGCTCATGAAATTTTCAATTTTTTAAAAATGAAATTTATGTATTTGTAAACTAAGTAAAAAGTAATAAGTCACAACTATTGACAATTCATATTATTTAAAAAATATGTGAAAAATTTGCGGTCAAACATAAACTTGTTTGAATCTCGGATCCGAAATGTGTCACATAAATTGAGACAAAGGGAGTGTATACTTTGCAGGATTCAATTCTAAATTTGCAGGATTCGGTGTCCCTTGATTGGATTATTAAGAAACGCTACCGTGAGTAACGTTTTAGGTGTAAGATGTGACTCACAATAACGTATTATAAAACTTTACTCATAGCATAAACCGTTACTCATAATAACGTTTCTCAACTTAACACCGTCAGAGAACGGTTGAATTTTTTAAAAATAAATTATATCCAAAAATGTTATTGTGAAATATGTTTATATTAGTTTTGTAAAAAAAATTAAAAAATGTATTATATTGGTGAATTGCTTTAAATAATGACTTAATTTGATAAAAAATTCTTGTTGTTGTCATATATCATGTATACTCCACCAGAATTCACAAAAAAAGTGTGTACCAATTCGTTTTATTATTAGGTTCCTAATAAGAATTGACTATTAGCTACCATTTTAGTCATTAAATTAACCAGGAAAAGTTGACGAAATTCACAATATTCAACTTGCAAGTGTAGATTTAATTGAGAAAATAGCTAAATACCCCTCAATCTATTATCGAATTTCTAATTATACACTTATTACCCTGTTGGACTATTTCAAAATGAAATTAAGTTCACCCTAAAATGATATACCCAAATTTATTGTGTGAAGTGAAACACACACACCAACCCATTTTTAACATGTGTATTTTCTATTTAAATTTGTTTTTGATTTACTTTCTTTCTCATTCTTCTTCTTTTCATTACCCTCCATTATTTTTTTCACCATTAAAACAATATCAAATTTCTTCTAGTGATAGCTAAAAATGCAAAAGAGGATCAGATTTTAGAAAAATCTTATCAAGAATCTTTTTCTAATGATAAATCTGAACAAAAATCACTAATAGGTATTGTTGGAAAGACAAATTGATCAAATGGGTTAAAGAAAAAAATCAACATTTCTACAGCAAATGAACAAGGACTTGAATTTATTTTATTTCTTTCTTTGATTGTAAATTATGTGTAAATAAAATTACAAATCTGATGTTTGTTTTTGGGCAACTCGAAAGATTGATTTATATATATGAAAAAAAAAGAAAAGTGAGGTGAATTATGAAGAAAATTGAAAAAAAGAAGAGATTAAAAAGTTGCCAGAAAAAGTTGCCGATAAACTTATCTTCTTAGTTCTTTGGCTTCCTCTTCTCTATGGATTATTTCCTTGTCATCGTCGGCACCGCCAATCCGTCAAAGATGGAAGTGTTAAGATTGTTGTTTCTTCTTCACCATGGAAGTGGGTGAAAAAAAGTAATTACCTCCATTAAAGGGGAGGGGATTTTATTTTTAAGAAGTAAATAAATACAAAAAATATAAATTATTCAAGTATAACAGAAATATAATAAACTTCTTACATGTGTATTGCTTCTCACTCTCTCAAAGAGAGTGAAATGCACTCTATGTGCCAACTTAACACTTAAAGGTTATTTATTCCACTTTAAAATAGTCCAGGAGTGTAATAAGACTCCCGTGAAGTATACGTGTGTAGTTGAAAATTCGCTAATAGGTTGGGGGCTCATTTGACTATTTTCTCGATTTAATTTTAATAAAAGAGAGAAGAGAATCACATGATAAGAATTCATCACCAATTTAATTATTATCTAAGACAAGTCAAGAAGAATCTAGAATATTCAAGAATTGTAGAGAATTGGATGAAGATCTCTAGAATGAGTGTTTTAGAGACAAAAGTCTAGAAATATTCTAAAATTTAATAGTTTGAGGAACATTCAAAAATAGAGTGGTAACTACCCAAGCAAGTGGTCAAAGCAAGTAAGCATGATAACAAACAAGAGTGAGTGTTAATTAAAGAGTATTGCTGAAGCAAGAACCAAGTGAGTAAGCAAAATTGTAAGACTGAAACTGATCCTTACTTTGCAATAATAATAATTAAAGTTGTAAGCATCCGACTATGCCCGTCTCCAAATATATTCAACAAGTGGTATCAAAGTTTGATGGATAAATAGCGAGGTAACAACTCAAAGAAGATCCAACATGCTATTGTTAGAGGCTAAAAGTCGCTAGGCACTAATCAATGACAGATTTTTGCAAGCACTTTCAATAGTGTTGAGGAGCTCAATGCAAGCAACTACGGATCATGGAACACGATAAGGCAATTAATATTACTTTTTCGGTCAGGATTTATGGGATATTATTGGTGGATCATATACTATACCACCAACAGATGTTGAAGCAACAAAAAAGGTGGAAAGTCAAGTCAAAACTGGAAAGGTCATGTTTGTTCTCATGGTAACAATTGAGGATGGGTTCTTACAACGAATTAAGAATACCAAGACACCTAACGAAGCTTGGGACACACTTGCAATGATTTTCACAAAGAAGAATGATGCGAGATTACAAAGGCTTGAAAATGAGTTTTTGTCAATCTCACAACAGAATATGATAATCAGTTAGTACTTCTCAAAGGTAAAATCTTTATCTGATGAAATATCAAACTAGATTCAGAGAATGCTATCATAGAGACAAGAATGAGGAGAATAATTATTTATGGTCTAAGACCGGAGTATAAAAGCATGATTACAACCATACAGGGCTAGGATACAGAACCAACTTTATCTGAGTTAGCAAATGAAGAAGATTTGGAGAAAACATTATCAAGTCTCTATAAAAGATAAAGATAAGGCACTCTTCAGCACAAGACAAGACTATCAAAAACGATTGGAGGTTCAACATCAAAGAAACTAATATTACAAGTGTGCAAACCAATGCTTCAACAAAAGACAAATAAAGAGTGCTACATTTGTGGAAAGAAATGATACTACGCCAGAGACTATTGATAAAAGAAAGTTGAAGGTAACACAACTACTTCTTCCCAAAACCAACCAGATGAAGAAGAAGAATAGGACTTCCAGACCTCATATGTAGTTGTAGAAGACAATCAACATAAATATCTTATCATCTCTCATCCTAATGAAGAAGATGAGGTTGGAGTTACAATTGTAAGTAATAAACTAGTCGATTATGAATATGATTGGATCGTTGTTTTGGAATGCTCCAATCACATGACCGGTGATGAGGAAAATCTTATCAACACGACTGAATATAAAGGCAATCGAGTAATGGTGATAACAAATGATTCAAGAACATCAAAAACTTATATTGACAAGACAGTGTTCGTACCTCATCACAACTCAAGACAAGTGAAACTTCAAAATGTTTCCCATGTTCTAGGTATGAAGAAGAACTTATTATCTGTGTCACTGCTAATAACTTTAGAAAACTATGTTGTGTTCAAGCCGGATGATGTTAAGGTATATCAAAGCTTCAAAGCAACAAGCTCGGCAATCACGGAGGAAAGAAGATTAAAGTTGATAGATGTCATGCCAACCAAGATAACTTATGTGGTACTTGAAGAAACACCAAGATGGTGGTACGAAGAATCACACTATCAAACTCAAGAGAATTGAAGCAAAAGCTACAACATAAACTTGAAGAAG